GATATTTTTTTTCATTTAGAATACATTTTTAGTTACAATTAGGGGTGTGTGAATATTTTTACCAAATTAATTAACTAGTAATATTTAATTCAAACTTAAAATTAAATATTTAAACTACATGAATAGTTTGAATTATTTGAATAGTTAAATAATTACAATCATAATATATTCAAATAAGATAATTAAGGGTTAATGAGAAGTAAATAACATTCTTTTTATTTAAAAATAAATTTTAAATTACAATTCCAATGTTCCATTTCTTCAATTACTATTGAAAAATTTTAATTTTCTAATTGAACCATTTAAAAATTTGAAACATTCAAACTATTCAAATAATTCTTGAATTCAACATCCATAGTTACAATCCAAATATAAAAAAAGTAAAAGCCTGACCATTAAAGAAAGTACACTTTTAGTATTTACTCCAAATATAATTAAATTGTTTATTGTTAAAACAAGCAATCTGACATTTTTATATTACATACCTACACTTCTGCTTTAAATTATTATTTTGAGGCAGAAATATTTTATTTGGCAAGATACACATTATGATATTAAAAAAGGATATTTTCATGTTAAAACAGCACAAGTTCACCATTATTAGTTTTTATAAGATTTTTAAAATAAAAAATAAACAAAATCATATTTAGTTAGTTACTTAGATTGTTTTTACAATAAACCATTCAATTATTTTTATGCTGGTAAAACAATTACCTTTAGCATAAATAAGTAGCATAAATATTGATGCATTATTTTTATTTAATTTTAATCATTAATAGGTAATATCAATTGTTTTACAATTTAAATTGATTTTAAAATTGATATTGATTTCAGGTTTGGGTTTGTGTTAATGGAAGAAGCAGACAGGACTTGAATTTATCAAACTTCTTTGCAAAAGAACATAGAAAATATTAATTGCAGTTGAATATTCTTCATTGAATCAAGAAAAAGACGCAGGTTCAATCCATGAATCATGAACAAGAAAAAAGACAATTAATACTTAATATTGACCAGAAAGTTAAATCATACATAAAGATTTTAATTTTGCCAAATACATAATTACAATATTTTTAACATTGACATTTAAGTGGTTCTATTGATTATTAATTTAAATTAAACCAATTTTACTAAAAATTAAATATTCCAAAGAATGTAATTTAATTTTTGGATAAGTAGGAATTCCTTTTTGCCGAAAATTCTATATTTTACAAAACTACAGTATTGTGCTTATTTTAAAAACAAATTATAATCATAATTCCTAAAAATTATAAGAGTATGGTTTGTAATAAGTCTAATTATTGCATTAAACATTTTAGGCATTAGCCTTTTGGTTTATTCCAGTAAAGAAATTTAATACTACATTAAGAAATCTGAAAATGCCTATAGGTATACAATAAGTCAGTATGTATTACAAAATTATTTATTTTTATGAATTACATATTCAAATTTAAACTAATTTTATTTAAATAATATACTCGAACTGTTTTAAAAGGTGTGTTTTCTAATAAGGACCAATAAGTATTGAACTATTGTTTATCAAGAATTTATCAAATATTTTAATGGTTTGTAATATGTTTTAGAGTTAATTTGTTTATAAACCTTTGCATTTTTATTAAGAAATCTTAAAAAACCTATAAAAATTGTTTTAGAGTTAATTTGTTTATAAACCTTTGCATTTTTATTAAGAAATCTTAAAAAACCTATAAAAATTGTTATTATGTGACACAAAATTAAAATTTCTGAAAATTATCGCTGTAATCAAGCGATAATTGTCTTGTAGGCATATATAAGAGGGTAATTATCAAATTAATGTCATACTTTTTGATAAATTATACCCAAATAATTATAAATTATTATACATGTTTGATAAACCTTTTTTTAAATTTCACTAAAAGTTATAGAATAATTAACTTTGAATTTCTCCTCATTTAAATATTATTTGTTGGTTATAATTTAATTTAAAATTGAATTAAGTGTATATTTTGTTTAATATATTTATAAAAAAAACAAAAATGTGTGTTTTTCCACTTAATTAGTGGAAAATAACCGAAAATTGTTGAAATTTTATATTTTTTGATTTTTAAAGAACAATATTAACTATATGGTTCTTTAAAAACCCAAAAAAATATAAAATTTTAACAATTTTCGGTTATAATTCCATATTTTAAATAAAAATTCAAAATTCGCGCCGCAGAAATCGTGTGGATATTTCCACCAATGGCTTACTGGCACCTCGGATTTCCAAGCCTGCTAGATTTCAAAATCAAACAATGCCTGTTGCCACTTTTCACTACAGCGCTTTTAATTGACCATATGCAAGGAATGCGGTCGATGTTGCCAATGGTAAAAAAATAAAATTCCCTATTGGAAACATTCAATTATATTACGTTGGCTACACTGAAATTTTGAATTTCCCGCAGAAACTGACACACATTCTAGTAGTTCCCAGAGATAAAGAAGGTAGTTTCAATGTTGTACCTATAATAAATTAAGGTGCGAATTTCAAATGTGGGAATTATTGTTATTTAATATTATTAAAAAAAAAGATGGAAATTAATTTAGTTTGTGCGGGAAATTCAAATTTTCAATTTAGCCAACGTAATATAATTGAATGTTCCCAATAGGGAATTTTATTTTTTTACCATTGGCAACATCGACCGCATTCCTTGCATATGGTCAATTCTCTTATGTTCTGTGTCCCAAGCTGACGTCCCGAGGACAGCCTAAGGACGTATTTGTGCTTACTGGGAGTTGGCGCGTAGGCTAATTATTTTGTTATAAAAAAAACAAAAAAAAAATCGACCTAAATGCAAGTTGTACAATTGAAAAAAATACCAAAGAATCTATGTCAAAATAAGATTCCAACGCTAGTTATATCGTTGAAATCGGATAATTGGTTCAGTCATAATAATTTTTTTTATTTTTTAATGACTAAAAACTTTGATTTTTAATATCATCAATATGTCAATTGATAACACAGCCACACAAAAAAAAATTGTGTTCTGATCTGGGGGCCTGACCATATTTTCTATATATTTTTGGGGTCGCTGAATCCGAATCCGAGGTCTATTTAACCCCATCACATCAGGATTTTGCCATAACCTTAAAAAACCCATCATATAAGCTATTACTATATATAACCCTGAGAATGTGGTTTTAATATAAAAATCCAAGCTCTTAAATATCACAACTTTATAACTCACATAACTCCATAACCCTATAACCCATTTAACCTCATAACTCAATGTATATCAACCACGTTTGTCAGATATTTAACTTAATATGTACGTTATTTTAATAACCGCATAACTTTAGTCTCTTCAAAGCTAAATGTCTGACATACGTAACTGTTGGAATTGATGTTGATGGGGTTAAATGGGTTACAAGGTTATGGGATTAAGTGGTTTATGGGATGGGGTTAAAATGGTTATTGGGTTTAATAGCTTGGGTTTTCAGATCACCATTTCATCCTAAGGATTATATGTTTAAATAGATGATGGGGTTAAGTGGGTCATGGGGTTATGGGGTTAAGTGAGTTTTAGGCTTATAGTGTTTAAGAGCTTGGGTTTTTAGACAACAACTTAATATTTAGGGTTATATGCGTTTAATAGCTTAAATTATAGATTTTTTGAGGTTATGTCAAAATCCTGATGTGATGGGATTAAATAGACCTTGGATTCGGATTCAGCGACCCCAAAAACATAAAAGAAATATGGCAGACCCCCAGATCAAAACACAAAAAAAATTTTGTGTTTTGATCTGGGGGCCTGACCATATTTTCTATATATTTTTGGGGTCGCTGAATCCGAATCCGAGGTCTATTTAACCCCATCACATCAGGATTTTGCCATAATCTTAAGAAACCGATTATATAAGCTATTACTATAACCCTGAGAATGTGGTTTTCATATAAAAATCCAAGCTCTTAAATATCACAACTTCATAACTCACATAACTCCATAACCCATTTAACCTCATAACTCAATGTACATCAACCACGTTTGTCAGATATTTAACTTAATATGTACGTTATTTTAATAACCGCATAACTTTAGTCTCTTCAAAGCTAAATGTCTGAGATACGGAACTGTTGGAATTGATGTTGATGGGGTTAAATGGGTTACAAGGTTATGGGTTTAAGTGGTTTATGGGATGGGGTTAAAATGGTTATTGGGTTTAATAGCTTGGGTTTTCAGATCACAATTTCATCCTAAGGATTATATGTTCAAATAGATGATGGGGTTAAGTGGGTCATGGGGTTATGGAGTTAAGTGAGTTTTAGGCTTATAGGGTTTAGGAGCTTGGGTTTTTAGACAACAACTTAATTTTTAGGGTTATATGCGTTTAATAGCTTAAATTATAGATTTTTTGAGGTTATGTCAAAATCCTGATGTGATGGGGTTAAATAGACCTTGGATTCGGATTCAGCGACCCCAAAAACATAAAAGAAATATGGTCAGACCCCCAGATCAAAACAAAAAAAAAATTGTGTGGCTGTGTAATTTATTTTTTTACAAAACGCTTTTGGATTTGTGTTAGTGATGTAAAATACTACAGAAAAAATGTATACACAATCCAAAATTAATTTTGACCTAACTCGGGGGCCAAATTTGAGAAATTCTGACCCATTGTTCATCTTCTACGGGAGGAAGGAAGGAAGGAAGGCAATCTATAAATCAGGCTTTAGTATTCAAACGGGGAGTAATCCTATACACTTTATATTTTTACGTTTGCTGTGTACGACGATATACGAAATTGAATTCAAATTTTTCTGTGAATTCAGTACTCGGCATTTTATTAGCTACTGACTGTAGTAAATGCAGACTCTTAAAAACTTACAGGTATATTTTTTTCTAAATCTTACACCATTTATTATATCAAAAATGTTTCGTCAAGTCACAATTCAAATTTTGACTAAAAATTTAACAGAATTAAATATTTAAAAAAACATATAGCTTCAAGAAGATACAATAGTGGAAAAATAGAAAGAAAAGCATAGTTTGATTTGCTACACATTTATTAACTGCTAAAACTATCCATCGAGTCAATGTTTACAGTTTATCTAATTTTTGTTTTAATACATTTGAATTTAATTATATATTAATTTTTCTATTTTTCAATATATTAAAGGTAAACTGTAATGCTATAAGGTTTTACAAATTTTACAAGCCTAAAAATTTTAACACCAATTTTATAGAAAATTATTTTTTAATGGAATCTGAAAGATCAGTTTGAACAGGAAATACAACGTTTTAGAAAACAATTATTGTGTTATTTTATGAAAATAACAAAACTAAAAATTATTATAAGGTTAACCATTTTCAGATTACGTTAAAAAAGGATTTTATATCTACTTAAATGCTGTTTTTAAAACCAACTACAGAAAGCTGCTTTACTAATGTTTCTAAAAAATGAGAGCACATTAAATCGTAAGTAGTTTTTTTAATAAAAATTCAAAACAAAATATATCAAAACTTTAAATAAAATTAAATAAAAAACAACTCATTAGTAATGTTAAAAAACCTGTTTCAATAAATGTTTAAAGAAAAGTATATATTGATAAATATATTTTAATTAAATATAAGTATTTATTTTTTTCCATTATTCTTCTTTGGTGTTGGATGCAGAATCTAGAATATTCTCAAAAGAGAAGGGTTGAAATGCGTATCCAGTGCCGGAGTAGAATTTACTTTGAAACTCAACCCTAAAGCATAAACAAAAATTTAAATATACATGTGATACCGTCTCCTTAAAAAAATCAAATAGATTTAAAAGATTGTAAATTTGCTGTATTGCCAAAACATTTGATCAAAGGTCTATTTTTTATATATTAAAACTCCTATATAAATATATTTATTTGTAATTTATATATATTATATTCAATAACTGTTATTAACTAATTTTCGCCAGTTGCTACTACTCTGATATTATTACATAATATTATTGTAATACTACCAACTATACTTATAAGTATACTTATATATAGATAAAGAAATTAACATTTCTCAAGGGTCCACCATGGAACCAAATAGTTAATATTAAATAAAATAACTGTAATTATAATTAATGAAGTGTTTCAGGAGAAATGGTGGTAAAATATTTAAAAATGTTATATAAACCTAGTGCAAGCAATGACTCCCAAGTAAACTAGAACAGGGGATAAAGCCCAGTTTTATTATATGCATGGTCCTTCTTAATTAATGGCTGATACTGAATTCATGGATGGTTTTAAGGAAAAATGTTTGTATTAAAAAAAATCTGCAGTCTAATCAGGTTAAGACCAGATAACCTTTTTTACATAAAAAGCTGTATTATTTAATACTGTTGGTTCAAAATAGCATAAAGTCGATACACAAAAAGTTAGGGTTAAATGTTTACACCCTGTTTGGGACGCCCCTAACAAAAATTTCAACTTTATTTTGTTTACAGTAAGTTTTGCAACTCTTTTATCTCCACAGGTTTCGAAAATATTTAGAAAAAGACTTTTAGGGACAGACTTTAAAGGGGCTCTAGCTTAGTAAAAAGTCATTTCTCGCACTATGTTTATATAACATTTTTTAAATATTTACCATTTCTCCTGAAGCGCCCTGGAGCGGTTCGAAAACTTGCTAGAGTGCTCTCTGGATACACTCCAAGTTTACCTTGCGCGTTTGATTTATCTGGTATAGCAAGTATATATGCCCAGAGAGCACTTTCGCTAGTCCAAAATAAATTATTTAAGAAATATCAACTCTAAAACAAAACAAAAAAATATTATAAAAACTTTAATAAACCATATTACTAAAGGGTTTAAATAAAATAATTTATTATTTATATGTATTCAGTCAAATAACAAGCTAAAAAATAGGTTTTAGAACACTACAACATAGTTTATAAGTATATGCTCAGCGGCGTTCGTAAATAACAAGGAAGTCAGGTATAATATAAAGTCACGTGATTATATACATATCTTTGCACCATTACATTATATTTATTATGGATATTATTTTGGATATTATCCAAGGTACACTCACATTTCATACGCATTCCTGTATATTAAATTAAAACTTACCAATGTAAACGAAGGGTGTGCAAGAAAGCTGACAAACCTTCCATTAAGACTAGGATGGAAACTGTCAGACATGACCAAAAGGCAAAAATAATGTAAAGACCGATTCCTCCAATCCATCCATCAAATCCAAGACCCTTCTTAAGAACCATATTCCATAATACTTCAGATAACTCTAAAATAAAATATAAGATAATAATAAAATATAACAATTAACAGGTTTTTAAATAGTCGCGCAAAATGAACCAAAAGTTTTTAATAGATTTTATTGAAACCTTTCCTCTTTGTGTTAGTTTTTAAAACCTCAACGCGCCTCCGCCACTGCTAACAACAACATGTCGTATTAATTTCAGCAGAAACAAAAATTAACTGCCAGAATTTTCCGTAATGTGTGGGAATTATATTGCCGTTTTGACAAAACGTTTCGAATCGAGGCGATACAAACGGATGAAAATGAACGAAGTCTGTGGGGGCGTTCATACACAAAAGAAATTAGCGTTAAACTGACAGATTAATAACCTCAACTATTTGTATTCAAAAGCCAAAATGGGACTATTGGGTTTGGAGCAATGAGGGATTTTTTTATAGTTTCTCCATCGACATCGACGAGACACATATTTTTTTTTGCTTGAATTTGTACTGTTCACCCGTAGTATTTTTTATTATGAACTAAAAAATCAATTTTATTCAGTTGCGAGTGAAATTAAATAGCATTTTTGCTAATAATTTGTAGATAATTGTTCACTTTACAAGAAAAAATTTAATAAATTGTAGATAATTGTTCACTTTACAAGAAAAAATTGAGTATTTTTTACATTAAAAAAAAAATTCTTGCTTATCTCTATGGATCTTTAGCCATCCAAAACATTTCAGGAGGGAGGCGGGAGGTGGAAAGCAAATATTAGTTGTTTCAACCCATTATTCTTCTCATAAATTGGACTAAAGTTGAGAAGAGCAGGGCAATGATAAATAATATGCATCACGTTTTCTTATCCCCAGTTACAGGCTCTATAGAGAGAACTGTCCACTTTTCCCAGTGTATAAAGGTGCTTTTTGAGTCTCCAGAGTTGCATTCTATATTTTTCCAACCTGTCAGACGGATTAGTAATTATAGTTTTGGTCTGACGGCATGTTCTTAAGTTAACCAATCTGTGTATTTGTTTTTCATGGGTTAATTTCTTTATTTTAAAATTCAAGACAGACTTTGATATAGGCAAGATAGGTTCAGGACCTATTGGCAGTTTTGCCGATCCCTGCAAGTTCATCGGCCTTTTCATTTCCTTTATTTCCATTATGCTCTTTTTCCCAAATAATTATATGACATTGTTTGTTGAAATCAGCTTCAATAGGGACTACTATCTGAATATATTCTTAATACCATTTACATGAAGTTCGGATATTTTACGAGCAGCTTCCAGTATGCCTATGATTTCACACTAGAAAATTGTCGAATGTGTACCTAATGATATGCTGAGACATATTAATGGGTTTTGACAGCACACCCCAGCTTCAGAGCCTGTTTCAGTTTTGAATCCATCTGTAAAAATGAGGATATGGGATCCATTCGCCCATACTTGGTAGGGGGTGTTAAAGTTGTAGTTTGGTACAATCTGGTCATGCATTGCACCCAGAAGGTGTTTTTGGACACCCTTATTCAGGATTCAAGTATGACGATTGTTTGAGTGGTTTCCTTTCCACAGTTTGGTGGTAGTAAGCCTGAGAGACGATTTAAATGCACTTTACTCTATGAACAGGTCTAAAGAAAAAATGTTTAAAAACGCTTCCATGGCTGCTGTTGGAGTCGTACGGATTCCACCCATGATAGCAAGGAATGTTAACCGTTGCACATGCCATATCTATTTTACTGCAGTAGTTTTTTTAAGTTTGGGTCACCAGATAATGAATCCAAAGAACAACATTGGTCGAATAACTGCCGTGTACAACCAGAGGACTATATTTGGACACAGCTCTTCTACACTGCCAGAAGGCAACAGAGGCCTTCTGGACTTTGTGCTTTAGATGACTACTCCAGTTGTTTACTGTCTTAAGTTATTCCCAAGTATTTGACTTGATTTGAAAGTTCCATACTGGTTCCAAATAACGTAGTATGAATAGTATAAGAAACATAAATACTACATATTTTGAGAAATAAGTTGTAATATTGACTATTTAAGTTTAATAATCTTAATTTATGTACACATACTTTAAAAAAGGTTTATTTAGGTTATACTTTTAATATTTATAATTAACATTTGCAATTTAAAACATTATTTTAATTTCTTTATTAGTAATCTTTTAATACTATTTGAAACGAATTACTTACGTGCATGAGCAAGCGATAGGGCCCACAATCTAAGATATGAGGCAGTGTGAGAAACAGAACCTAGTACATATTCAATTGTGTGAATGCCTTGGTGAATAAATATTTCAGCCATTGGCTCACTGTCGTGCCCACCAGGTTGAGTTGGAGGTTGATGAACCATATTATTGTGTACTGGTAACTCTGAATCCACACCATTTTCAGTAGTCATTGGCTGATGTGTATTAGAAGAAATAGATTGTTGTTTACGCGAACGCATTATCATAATTGGTTTGGCAAGCAACATCCATGGTACGCAAATTAACGCACAAAACACAAGGAGCTGCAATAAATAGAATACATATTAAAATATTGATTTTAAGGTTTGTGCTAATTAAAGTAAGTTTAAGGATTATATTATTTAACGTTACCGAAAGTGACTAGTAAAATGATTTTTAATTTCATATTTTCATCTAGTTCTTTTTTTACCTTTTGAATACCTCCTTGTCCAGCAAATAAATATGGAGTCTCACATATTTTTTCGTAGTCAGTTTCCTTATTAAGCATCATGTTTATAAATGTTATAAGAATAGATGGTGCGCAACGGGTACTGTAAGTTATGTGAGTCCCTAAAATAGTATATTAATATACGAGAGATAATGCAGGCTATTATCTCCAAGAATGCGCAATATCTTGAGTGTAATACTATAGTATATATACACTATAGTATTACAGATGCATATATGCTATTTCTACTCCAATTAAGTAATTTTTGTTAATAACCAAATTTATTATAATCTCATTTTCTTCCGATTTTAATGATCATTATAGTCGCCCGTCGTATATATAAAAAACTCTGACATTTGTTAAAATGTTCCAACCTCACTTTTTTAATTTAAAACCCTATTGGTTCAAATTACAGTAAATATTGAAATCAGTCCATCACTGATGGCTAAAAACGTAAATAATAATTGCTAGGCGGGGCGGTTATAATGGTTGCCATTATATAGAAAAACAAACAAATAATGTAAATAATTTGGAATAGGAGTAGAAAAACATAATTACTTGTGTATCATTATAATTATAATTAAATTAACACTTACTTTCGTTGGTGGCATAATACATAAACCATTTAATAAACATAAGCATTACCATGTAGAAAAATAGGAATACTAGGAAAATAACCTGAGGAATGAATTCACAAATAATGCTTAACTTGTTTTTAAAATACCTAAAATTAATATAGGTAAATAAATATATTATGTATACAAAAATTTATAAATAAAAACTCACATGTGATTAAATAAGCTCATGGAAACTCCAAATAACATATGGGTTATACCCAAAATAATAGAAATTTTCATTTTAAAGGAATTTTGGAAAATGATTTTGTTTTTAGCAAGTTGCCAAACTGGATCCATTCCAATAGCATAAGAATAATCAAAATAATCGTCTGTTGCTGGATCAAGCATATGCACACTTGTAATGGAGATGGCATCAGCTTTGGAAATGTTTTTCACTTGCCAACTTGAACCAAATATATTGAGAGACTTGGCAAACATATCGTTATAGATAAGACCAGTATACATAGAAAACACACCCATGAGGAATATGATGTAACGTCCGCCAAAGAAAATGTTCCATATCTAAAATAAAATAGTTACTTTTTAAATGTATGATCATATTTGAAAATTACCTCGTTATCGGACTTTTTAGCCGCTAGGGGCTTTTCTTTCAATACCATCCATAAACCAAATAACATCATCAAAGATCCATGTCCAAGATCACCAAACATTACAGCAAAAAGAAAGGGAAAGGTGATAATTGTGTAAGGAGCAGGGTTCATTTCACGATACGAAGCAATACCATATGAATCGATTAAGGTTTGGAACGCAGAAGTAAACTTGTTGGTGTGATTATAAGTAGGAGGGTCTTCTGGGGTATCCATTCTATTTAAAATTGGAGGTACAGAACTACCACTTCTCTCCTGAAAGTATAAAGTTTTGAAATTGTTTAAAAAAACTTCTTAAAAATGTCATTTATACATTTTAGTCTAGTAAAAGTACATTAAGCCACAAAATGTATTTAAAATGAGCAGTTCAAAATATTAAATAAAAAATTTAATTGTGTACAGATGTGATATTATACAAATATACCTGTGTTTTATTATACAAATCAAACTGCATTTTACGAAATATTTTTTTTAAATATTAAATAATTTTTTATTTGTCCCAAAAAACAAAGATATTTTATAAACACCTCTATATATACATATATACACATACAGGGTGGCTCAAAAGTTTGGAATATTGAGTAACTTAACTTAAATATCAAAAATATTCAAAAATGATTTTAATAAAAGTTGTTTAATAGATTATTTCAAATTTTGCGATGACATTACCAATTTAAAAAAATAAATACGTAGCCCCCTAAGGGGGACAACTTTTTTTTAAATAGTAACCCCCCTTTTTTACAACAAAATTTAAAAGAGGCTTTTTTCTGATTACAACAATATATTAATATTGGTATAAACCTTTATTCAAAATAATGCATAAAAACAAGAATATGATTGCCAAAAGTACAGTAAATTTTCAAAATATTCACCGTTAACGGCAAGACAGTGGCCTAAACGATTTTCAAATTCTTGTTTTACATTCTGCAGCCAAACGTCTTGAACATTATGAATTCACTTCACAATTTCATTAACTATTCTTTCTCTCAGGACCTGAAGATTGCCCGGCCTTTTATTGTACACCACTGACTTTAAGGGCCGTAGGCAGAAACGTTGATTTATTTATATCAACTGATTTTCGCATATACACTGATTTCAGTTTGAACCAATTTGGAAACATAGCAAATTTTGACAGTAAAGATCTGATAGGTTATAGTCACGGCCAAATCTATATGGGTGCACGTCATCAATGAGATATAATGACGTCAGCATTACCAACTTTGAATTGTAAAGTTACTGCCGTTAAATTTGCTTTTTTAAGGCGTAATTCTGATGTGTTATTAAAAAGAAATCATTCATTTGCGTATTGTTTATCAAGAACTGTAACTATTTCCTTGTTTTAAAACGTTTTTTCACGAAATTATCAAAATAAAACCATTCACTTAGTAATTTTTGTGTGTGCCAGTTGGTAATAGCTTAAGGCTGGCGCGCACCGTTCAATATTATTGATGGGTCGCTGTCATTTTATATTTGACGTATTTTTGTAATTGTGACATTTCGTCCGGAAGCATCGTTTGTTGCAAATTATTATAAATAATATTATACATTATGTTTATAAGATTCTATCCCTGGATTGTGCAAACAATGATATAAGGCTTGTTGGCAACTAGCCGTTATTAGATTTCGAAGAGATTGCGCCCTTAATAATAAATTTGGGGAAATAATCAGACTTCAATTCTGACCTGGTTTGCTCTGATGGCAAGGACGACTGGTAATTTATTATTTTTGTGTTTCTGATAATTTAGTATTTTTTTGTTTTGTGCATATGTAATAAAAATGTAATAAACTCCGTTTGTTTTCTCTTTAAACACATTTAATAAAAATTTGCCTGTAACAAACTCCTAATTAGTTAGTGCAGAAGATTATAACAAGGACGTTATAATTCCATCTTAATAACAGCCCCCACCGCTATAAACAGTCAACAATACACGAGCGTTAGATTGTGTCTGGGCACGTATGAATAGACCTTAACGCTGACGTCATATGCCGTTGATGACGTGCACCCATACAGATTTGGCCGTGACTATATCTTATGTATATTTAAATATGTGTTTATTATCATATATATATATCATTTCTAAAGTGTATATTAAATATACACAATTGGGTTATGTTCTTAGTTTGCAAGTAAATTTGCATTAGAAGGTATGAAAAACGAAAATTACGGCTTAAAGCCTCTGAAAAGAACAAAGAAATTTTGTTGAAGTTGGTAGAAATTTTATTCAAGTGTTTGTTTTTGTAAAAGATTAATTAATTAGGTATATTATGATTATAATAATTATATTAGTTATAGGAATACTAGACCTGTTTCTAAAAGGCACTGCTCTTTTACCTATTCTTTGACAGGTACCAATAACACATTTTTAGGCATTTAGGCAAATGTTTTAAATAATAAATGCAATGATGCTGAAGACATCGAGAGGGAAAAAAGACATTAATAATTTGTGACAAGAATATAAAAAAATCAAGAAACAAACTCTAGAGGATAACATATGTTAGTTAATGCTTGATATACATAAATTATGGCTTCAGAATAATTTTTTTTAATCAAAAGGAGGGAGCTATACTTAAAAATTGCATGTCTAGAAAAATTGTGCTAGAAAATGGGTGGGAGGTGGAGTCTCGAAACTTTTTGTAGCATGCATATAGTTTACCCTTGCCTGCCCCCCTTGCTGGAAATGGGGCAAGAATCCCTGCTTTTCTAAAGGGTTAAATTAAACCCAATGAAAAAAATTATGCATGCATTATACACTTTGTTTTTACGCAAATTTTATAAACTGTTATTTTAATAAAGCAAATTTTAAAATTTTATCTGTTGCAGTTCTAGTCCAGATTTTTTTACCTTGTGTATTTTATTTTAAAAATAAAAATATTGTTTCAGAGCATATTTTTAATTATTTGTCAAATAAATATTACAAATGATAAATACAATTTGAAAATAGTTTCATACACTGAGCCTGTTTTTGCTTTCCAGCAAATACAATTGTTTTTACCTACAGGGTGTATTTTTTATTTTCTTATAAAATGCCTTTTAAACTTGTATTACTGGCAAAAACTGTTAATAAATATTCAATTTGAAATACCTATGTTTTTGTCCCTGAATTTAATTTTCTTTTATGTTTAATAGTACCTATATTTCTGAGCCGAAAAATAAATACAGTGTAAATTTCCTTAGAAAAAAATATTTAAAAAATATGACAAATATTTTTTAAACACAATTTTGGTTTTATTTTATTAAATAGTAATTTTTTTAAATTATCTAGGTATTATATTAAAAAGTAAACATTTATGGAAGGTATGTATGTTTTTAATAATAAAAAAATTAATCAATAAATATTTTTACCCAAGTTTAATGTTATGGGTAATTATTTTACAATGAAACCAAAGAAAGTAAAAATCAATTGATTTCAAGCATTCAGCTTTTCAATCAGACAAAAAAACAGCAAAGATATTTGATATAATTAACATGGTAGTAATTTTATCTTTAAAAAAATGTTATTTTTTAATTATATCTTTGTTATAGGTATGTTAACCTTCTGAATTTATTTTTTCATATAAATTTACAAACAAAAATACTGTCTATTTTTATCCATATTTTAAATCAGTCGTTAACAACTGATATAAATTGTATCAACCAATTTACATTTTAGATGATTTTATTGGCCAAAAAACAAATCTAGTAAACCATGACTTAGTAAAATTATTTTTCTTACTACCTCGGCCGTCAAATAAACCTTGATGAAATTTTAATAATTATTATTATTGTTTTATGTCTAATTTAAAATGCCAGTGTATAGAAATCAACTTTTTTAGGGAAAATATAAACGTTGAGAGATAATTACCCAATTTATTTTATAAAACAACAGTTTTTAAAGAAAATTACTACGTTGCCATGTCGTGCAAAAACCTATATCCACTGATATGCTTAATCAGTTGATATAAATAAATCAACGTTGGAATTTGGAGCCCAATTTCAGATTTCTGGATGAAAACGCACGCCTGCACAGAGCCAGGGTAGTACAAGAACGGCTAGCATTCCATGAAATTAATCATATGCCATTACCAACGCTCTCTCCAGATTTAAACTGCATCGAGCATGGTTGGGACATGCTCGGAAGGGCACTAATTGCCCATCAACCTCCTGTTCAGGACGTAAGTTCACTGAGGCAAGTTCTTCCATATTTATGGGATACCTTGGATCAAAATGACTTGGATCGTTTAATTTTAAGCATGCCTCGCCGAGTTGAAGCAGTAATAGCGCCTCGGACCATAAAAACCTTATTATGCACTTAATACATAAATAACTATTACGTCAAAGAATTTTTGTTATAATTGTCATATTATAATGTCATCGTGCATAAATATTATTGACATCAGTCAGTTTCAAAGTTTAAAGATGAATGAAATTGAGGAAGCAGCTGAAAAGGCGAAAAATTGCGGCCTGCTGCCGGAAAAATCAAAATCTTTATACGAAAAAACTTACTTCGAATATATCAAATTGTGTAAAATAATTCCTTAAGGAAGAATATGGTCGAAAATTATCATTCCATAAAAAATCTGGCTTACTTTTGGTATTTGTCGAAGGAAAGGAAGCCCTCATCGCTATGGTCCTATTATTCGATGCTTAAGGCCACCATTAAAGCCAACCATGACGTAGATATTAGCAATTACACAATTGTGTTTATTTGGATTAAAAAAAAAAAAATCGGACGGATATAAGCTCAAAAAATCTAAGGTTTTTACCATGGAAGAGATACAATCTTTTTTATATCAAGCTCCCGATGAAATATATTTAATGAATAAGGTAAGATAAGGATAAAGTGTTTATTTTCTATAAATCTTTAAATTGAATTTGTTGAAACAGGTTGCGCTAATTTTTGGTTTGTCTGGGGCTTGCCGAAAGCAAGAACTCGTTCAGTTGGAAGTTGATGATATTCAAGATTTAGGATCATCGTTGCTAGTTACTTTGCGTGATACTATGACGAAGAAAAATCGAATGTTTAGTGTTTTTAACAATGATAGGCAAACAAGTTTTTTGGATATTTATAAAAAATATGCTTCTTTGCGTCCATCAAATACCGAAATTCGTCGTTTTTTTCTGGCATATAAAAATGGACATTGCACAAGACAAGTTGTTGGGAAAAACGTTTTTGGTGAAATTCCAAAGAAGATAGCTACCTACCTTAAACTTCCTAATCTCGAGTTATATACTGGGCATTCATTTCACCGTGCATCGGCAACAGTGTTGGCAAACT